CCCGCCAGGCCAGGAGCCCGTGACGCAGGCGCGGGGGCAGGACCCGTCGGCCCCGGGGCGCAGCCAGGCCGGCCGCCTCCTAGGGGCCTGCGAGCGTGGGGGGTACATCACCTGGGCACACAGCAACAACTCCCGGCCTTGGCGGCGGCAGCAAAAAAACAACTTATCCGTCGCTCCAGACCGCCTACGCATGCGCTCCCGGAAGCCAGGGGAAGCGAGAGAATCCCTCCCACTCACGTAACAGGCGCAAGAGTCATGTGACTTGCATCCTGCGGTCATGTGATACAGCCCTCCAGCCATCGCGCGGGAGCATAGCAATACCGCTGGAGGTCACGTAGAGCGTGCCTGCGTTGGAGCGGGCAGCGCGGGGTCACGCCGGCGGGGCGGGGCGGGCGGCCTGCGGCCCATGTGGAGCGGGAGCAGGAGGCTGAGCCAACAAGCGCCCAGCGGCGGCGGCAGCAACAGCAGCAGGAGGAGAAGGAGAAGGAGAAAGAGGCCGCCAAGTCTCCAGGCCTTGCGCGCATCCAGTGCGGCCGCGCCATGAAGGGGTGAGTGCGGCGTGGGCCCGGCCCGAGCGGGGCGCCGGGCCTGGGGTGGCGCAGTTCGGCACAAACCGGCCGTCGCGTGACCCCGCGCGCCACGCCCCGCTCTCTACCTGCGGGGCCGGGGGCGTCCCGGGGGCGCGGCGCTGCGCAGCCGGTCTCGGCTCGTGGGTTGCGGGTCGTTCCCTCGCGGGGGTGGAAGAAGCCGTCGGAAGGACCCGGCTGCGCCGCGTTTGCGTGAGGGGAACTCCTCCGCGGGTCCCGGCCGCCGCGGGCCGAACCACGTTTCCGGCGGGGTCTTCTCCCGCGGAGGGTGGCAAGGCGACCCCGTGCCTTCTGGCCCACGGCCGTGTGGAGCTGCGTGTCATTTCTGCATCAGGTGCCTCCCTGGGGAAGGCAGACTTTGCTTGCCTGCCCCAACAGCCGCCTGGAGAGCTGGCAGCAGGCCCACAAATGTAGCTGGCATTGCTCTTTCTTGAGGGGTAGTGTGTGGATGGACCAGAAAGGCTCCTGCTTTCTGGAGTTTGGCCCCTGCCCTGACGGTGTAGGGTTGGTCTGGACTTGCCAGAGCTTGGTCCCTGATGGCCCAAACTGGCCTCAGCATGTGCCAAGCTTCTGCATTGACCATCAGGGCAGGTGCCAAGCTCCAGGAGCCCCGTGCCACCACCCCAGCTGGGCAGTGCCTCCTACCGCAGCCGCCAAACCTGCCCTAAAGGTGCTGGGTGCAGCATGTGCTCCCTCACACCTCAATCTTGGCACTACAAGGTGTGAGGCTACAGCCTGGATGGACCCAATGCTCCACAGCAGTAAGGGTGGCCCGGCATGTGTGGAGTTCCACCTGCCTTGTGACTTCCCATGTGTCACCTGTGCCACCCTCCTCTTCCACCCCCCACCCCCGACTTACCTGCAGGTAGCTGCAGGAGCTGCACCCACCACCCTGCCTGGTTGTATTTGTGTGATGTGTGTATATGCATGCACATGGCACCCCCTGCCTCCAGTGGCCCTCCCTCTAACCCCAAACACTACCTTGCAGGCTGGAAGTCTGGTTTCCTGTTTCAAAGTGGAAAATTTGCATTTTTCCATGGGAAAAAAGAAAACACAGATTCTTGGTAATCTTACATTTAATGCCTGTCAATAAAGCAGTGTCCAATATAATCAGGTCTTTAGGTCTTGTGGGCAAAGAGGCAGAGCAGCCTTGTAAGGAGTAGGTGGGTATGCAGGAAGAACAATAAAATTGATCAGCAGCAGGTCACATGTTAGATGTGCTTCTCTATGGCTGAAGCTAGAACTTAGTTTCAGCTTGGATTCCCCAGGTTTTTTGATTTTCTGTGGCTTGGCTCTGCTTGGATTCTATATCAGTTTTGAATTGAAAGAGAGAGTATTATTGCTTAGGCTTGAATATGTTACGTTGTCTGGGCAACTTTCTGTGTCAGGCCAGAGCAGACTGGAGTCTCCAGATTTACATGTAGTACACAAAATGTGCCTGGGTGAAAATTGTCATTTCTCTTATCTGGGGCTTCAGTGAATCTGAGTTGGGGGGTTCATTACAAAAGAACAGGAAAAAACACCCCAAAAACTATTCCTTGATGGCCCTTTAATAATAGACTTTTTTCTCAGTTGTGCTTTTACTTAATCAGTTGTGAAGTTTGCCAAATTCCAGGGGAGCAGATCAGGTCTGTGATATTCTATACTTTTCTGTCTCTGCTTTTCTGGCACTCCTAATTTTCCTTGGGGGTGGGATTTGCTCCCACAGGTAAGTCCGGGGTGGGGATTGAGGCCTCCATAATGAGAGAGGGAGTTGGGCAGGCTGGGGTTTGGGCTGCGGCCCAGCTCAGGCAGTATGTGAGGCTTGGGGCCCAGGGCCACGTGTGGCTGCAGGGCCTGGACAAGGAGTGGGACAGCTTTTCCAGGGGGCAGGGGAGGGGCTGGCTCCCCACTGGTGTACACACTCCTGGCGGGAGTATAGGAGGGACATGACCCTTAGATTTGTGCATGGGGCAGGGGTTGGCTGTGGGTTCAGGGCTCCCTGCTCTGCTGGGTGAGACCCAATGCAGCAGAGCGGGGCAGGGAAGTTCTGTGCTGCCACCACAAGCCCTGTGCTGCCCGGGCAAAGTGCCTCCTGTCTGTCTGGCAGCTGTGGCCCTTCTTGGTCTGGCCCTCTGTTCCTCCTCCCAGAAATGGAGGTGTATGTGGGAGTTCCACCTGTCCTGCCTTGCCTCTGTTTCTGGGAGATAGTGCCAGTTGGACAAGAAAGGGCTGCAGCATGAGCCAGTTCTCCTGCCTGCTTCGGGTTATTGGAGAATCCTAATGCTGGAGGAGCGTATGTGTGCTGCAAGCGTTCTTGGTCTGACTGTGCACCAAACGCATGGGGCAATTTTACCTGGTAGCTGTAAAACCCAGTTTTGAATGGCTGTATATGGGAATTTTCTACTAAGTGCATGTTAGTTAACATGTACTTGAAAGCATAGTGGTAATCTTGGGAGCTTTGTAGATCAGCTCTAGAGCCTGAGCAACAAATGAATGAATGAGGCTCCTAGTGAATTAGGATGAGGGAAGGAACCAGTCACATGGTTACTTGAGTTTTTTATGCCTTTCTAATCCAAAACAGACAGGGTATGTAGTTTGCAGCCCTTTCCTCCTGCCTCTAATTTTGGAAGAGCTTGCAGCTGCCTGATAGAGTTTTTTTCCCCATTCCTTTGTGAATGTCACACCCTTTGTAAACACTCACAAGACCTTTGTGTGAAAAAGCTAGATCCAGAAACTCCATTGCAGGGAGCATGCAGGAATCAATAAGCTGAGGGGCCTCTTCTGGTGGCAGCTGTAGCTTCCTTGACATAGCCTGTTCAGAGTACTTGGGATTCCTTAACTATGTACTGCTACTGTTTGGAGAAATTCCCATAGTTCTCTTTAGAAGGAACCTCTGTGAAATTTGTGGTCCATTGCCCATACACTTTTGCTTTACTTAGTTGGTCTTAAACTTCACTTTCATTTTTTTTTTTAATTTATATTGACTTTGAACCATGGGGAAAAAAACATGAGTGAAAGGAACTTGACTTCTACTGTCTGTAGACATTGCTGATATTCAGATGCAAAGTGATGCAAAGTAGGGTTGTCCTCAGTATTGTCTTCTTTATATATGGATATATTTCTTCTTTAAAGCTGATGCATTGTTCTGGTAACATTTTCATGCTACTGTCTCTGAGCACAGAGCGTAAAACAGAAAAGCTTACTACCTAAAAATGCTCAAATTAGCAGTCATGAAATTCGTGATGTCTCAGAAAATTAAGTTGTGCTCCTCATTGCTGTTAAAGGGCTGCATCCAAAGATAAACTTCAAAGAAGTAAACAAGAAACAGGTTTCTGGGAGGCTGGATCTGTAGTCCATAAACATCAGGCTCTGCTTCTGATTGATTCTGTTGTGTTTATGAGCCTTGAAGAAGATGAGGCACTCTTCAATGGTAGATGCTATACAAAAAGATAGTAAGGGACAGTCTTTGCCAAATGAAGAGTGTTGCAAACAAGAGCTGCTTCTCTGGAGACAGCTGGCCCAATGGGAACCGTAGTGAGGTGATGTAATGGGTGGAGGACATCAGGCACAGACCAGAGACTTAGCAAGGCAGTGTCTGAAGCCAGGAAGTGCACGTGAAGATTATCTATGGCTCTGGCATGGAACTTACACAGAAGAACTTCTTGAAGTAAATTCTACCAAGGTAAGGATTTATTTTTCTTTCCCTCCCCTCAACCCTTTCTAAAGTTTAGGATGTGAGTTTGTGTAAAGTCCTATATAAAAGGTTCAGATCCATTTGTCCAGATCGGAAACATATATGTTTCCCAGTAGAGTTCTGTACTGTGTCATTTGTACGCGACCATTACTTTGTTTCCATTGGGAGGGAAAAAAAAAGACCTTTCTGAATTGTCACAAAATATTAGGGCTGTGCGAAATTTTGCCGCCAGCTTTGTTTCAATGCTGTTTCGACTCGTTTCGAGGTCAAAACAGCAAAATCGAAACGAAACAGATATAGTCAAAACAAAACGAGGCAAGTTGAAATGTTTTGCCGTTTCAAGGCTGTTTCGACACTTTGCCCATAGGCTATAATGGGGAAGGTTGAAACAACCGATAACTTTGTCATTTCTGGCCTGACTTGGATGAAACTTGTAGGAATGGTAGCCCTTTCTGAGGGCATGAAGCATGCCAAGTTTCAAGGAGATAGGTACAGGGGGGGGTTGGGGGAAACTGTACCCCAAAGTCTTGAAAGCAAAACTCATGTCATGTGTATGTGTTAAGCCACAGCAGGGTCAAAACTGCAGGCATGCTAGCCCCTGCTGAGGCCACAAAGCCTGCCAAGTTTCAAGGAGATAGGTGCAGGGCTTTGCAGGAAACTGTACCTCAAGCTGTGGACAAGCAAAACTCGTGACATGGGTGACACTATGTTAAGGTGCAGCAGGGTGAAATCTGCAGGCCTGCTAGACCCTGCTGAGGCCACGAAGCCTGCCAGGTTCTGGGGCCTTGCACCTCTGGCTGCTGACAGGCAAAACTCATGACATGGGTACTTCTGGGACTGTGTCTGTCTTGGGGCACAGGGGGGTGAAAACTGCAGGCCTGCTAGGCTCTGCTATGGCTGCAAAGCCTGCCATCTGTTAAGGAGATAGGTGCAGGAGGGTTCTGGGGACCTGTGCCTGTAGCTGTTGACAGGCAAAATTTGTCTCAAACTCCTGGAAGATCATTTCAGGCTCAACATTAGGAAAAACTACTTTACAACTAGGGTGTTCAGTCTATGACCATTATTCCTATTTTTCTCCAAAGGTGCCCTGGTGAACAGTTGTTCACCGAGCCCTAGATGGTAGCAGCTTACCGCTACATCAGAAGCGTATAAGTCGCCTCTCAGCCTTCTCTTTTTCAGGCTGAAGAGTCCAAGGTCCCTCAGCCTTTCCTCATATGGCTTGCCTTTCTCTGAATTCTCTCAAGCTTTACCAGGTTCTTGTTAAAGTGCAGAGTCCAGAACTGGA